CAACTTGAAGACGTGTGGTTTTCAACTCCCAGAATTCTGGGAGTTGAAGCCCACACATCTTCAAGTTGCCAAGGTTGAGAAACACTGCGCTAGAAAACGGGTGTTTTGCAATGGCCCATGGCCTCCTTCACAGGTTTTTTCCAAGTTCACCGCCCCTCTGCTGTCAAAAGGCAAATGTGCCCCCAGACCAAAAAGGACATTTCAGTCCTTTTTATAGTGGTTGGGCTTTTCGAAATATTGAAAAACTAAAATATATTTTTAATTTCATGATCCTATTTCATTCTCTTTTCAAACTATCGAATGGTGGGCATTCTCCAACTGCTGGCAACCAGTGTCACTGTTCACTGTGTGCTGTGCACGGAAAGTATTTCTTTCTGTCCATCCGGGGTCTCCTGTGCTTAATTTTAATGGATGACCTTAGATTCTTACATATATCCATGTATTTCTCTCACATACTACCTCCACCCACCTACATTTTACTTTTCGTCTGCTTCTCTTTTTTCTTATTTTTCATTATACTGCATTTCTGGTTGATTTTTGTTGTTGATGGTGCTCTGTTGGTGTCAGTAAAAATGCACTTAAACGGAAAGAAATTCCAGATTCTTGCCACCCCTTTCTGAACAAGGTAATGTGAAAAGGGCCTCTTTTAATGCAATTCCTTGGCATTAAACAAACCAGGTAACAATCACAAGGCCTTTCTCTTGCACACTAGGCAGCCTCTGCTAGGGAAGGCAGGCCTAGACTGCAACAATCCTGCCCTCTGATGATAGAGCTCTCTGGCTCCCAGAGAAGTTTCTTCTCAAGCGTCTGCTGGGAGACAATGAAGCCTAAACGTAGAGCTTTTCGAGGGGAACACTGATGCTCCATTCAACTTAGTCTCAACTCCAATCACGAGGACGGATAGCACCACAACTGGCCCAGCCATGCTCCGTTCCTCAATCTGACTACTAGCGCTCCCCAGGATGTGGCTGTGGAACTTGGGCACCAAACGGCCGTTCTCCTCCACTGACTCTCTCTCTCTTCTCCTTTTCCAGTAGAGATACCAAGGGTTGAGTCTTGGACTTTCCAGATTCAGAATAAGAATGCTGCTTCTAAAGGCCCTTGCCTCTTCAATCCTGTAGTCTTCTCAAGCCACAGGAAGAAGGGGAAGCATTCCAAATGGGGGGGGGGAGTGAGAAAAGGCTTAATCTGAGCCCGGCTTACGTTGATCCAGACACTGGTGACTTCTTCATAGATGACGAATGGATGGACGTTCTCGGGCACAGCTTTGGCAAATTCCAGGCGCTGTTCCTCGTTTTCTGGGACTGGGATGAAGAGCGCGGGAGGGAAAAGGATGAGTTGGAGTTGCTGCTGAGGTCTGTCTAGGAACATGGCCCAAGCACTGCATTGAAGTGGGAGAGGCAACAAGAATCAGGGAAGGAAAACAAAGGTTAAGAGCAGGAAAGCAAGTTGGAGCAACCGCACATTGAATCCTAGAAGCACTGGAGAGTAGTGCAGTAAACCGAACCCTGAATTTAGTTCTGAAACCCCTTGGGCACAACTTTTCTCTCTTTTTTTTTTCATTTCAACTTTTCCTGTCTTTAGTCACTAGCATCTGATATTCCAAAGACGGATGGTTTGAGAATATGAGGCTTCCTGCCGTCCACTGCTCAGAGCAGCCTTGAATTAAGAGCCCTGACATCAATCTTAAGGTGACTCCAGTCAGTCCAACACCTGACTCCTCTAATTTATTTATTAAATCAATTTATACAGCTGCTCATCTCACCACAGGCAACTCTGCGTGGCATACAACAAAGCTAAAAACAATCAATAAACGCATTAAAAATATAAAAAATCAAAACAGAACAGAGAATAAAAGGATGTTAAAAATAAGGGAGCCACCTCACTAATTCCCCTGCCCCTGGGGTCTCCAGGCCTGCTGGCATAACCAGGTCTTAAGGGACCTCTGGAAGCTCAACAATGACGAGGCCAACAAATTCACCAAATCTTTCTGAGAATCCAAAGTCAGGGCACAGCGGCACAAATCGCTCCCAATCATTCTCCGAAGGTGGCATTTGCGGGCATCCTGTTCCTCGAAATGGAGGCTGTTTCTAACCCCCACCGCAGCCATCCAAGAGCTTCATTCTCCAAGAATTCATTGCTGATGGGGCACTCCGTAGAGTGCCGGAGATGACCCTAAGCATCTCTGGTGAAAAGGAATCAACAGAAGCAGGGAATAAAAAAGGCCCTTCTCTGCCGGAGGCCTGGAGAAATGCTGCCAATTACAGGAGGTGAAGCTGGGCTGAATGGATTATCGCCAGACCCATTCAGGATGTGCCCAGTTCAGTCTAACGCGTATCTTATCAGCACTGGGGCAGGAGGGAGCAGCCAGGGATGCCAGGAAGCCATGACTTCATGAATATTGGTCAAAATGGGCAAACACTCTAGCCTGGGATAAGGTGGCTGGCTCTGCCTCTGACTCATCCACATAGATACGTACTACTTGCCATCTCGGGTCCAACCAGCTCGTGCAACGTACTCCACGTTGGGGAACATTGTAGCAAAGGGGTGCACCAGTTCCTTGTCCCGGGCATGCACAATCTGCAAATATTTGGGGGGGGGGGTTGAAAATATAATTGGAGAACGTGATCGATGCAACACAATTTACACATCTCTCTGCCAAAAAAGTGCCCCCAAAGCAGAAACAAAATGGACCTTTGTACCTGAGTTTAGTAGCTTCTATAGACTTAACTTAACAAGAAAGAAAGCTAAAGACAAATGCTTCTGATTGCATATATAAAAGGCTCACATTTGAAAGCAAACTACTGGCTGGGATTCTTATGTTGTCATGCAAAGCATCCTTCATAATAAATCTTGTTAATGAAAGCTCTGAGAGTCTTGTAACTGGTTTGTTCATTTCCAGCCTCATTGCTCCTCCAGTGTTCTGACACACGGCTCCTATCCAACTTTATTTAACTTCTCCTCCTTGCATGAGGAGAATACCATGAGGAATACTCCTTATACAGGTAGTCCTCGCTTACCATTTGTTTAGCAACTGTTTGAAGTTACAACAGCTGCTAAATGAATGGTTGTTAAGCGAGGACTACCTGTATCATGGTATGAGGACTCTTGCCTTGGGCAGGGAGTTGGATAAGAAGACCTCCAAGGTCCCTTCCAACCCTATGATTCTATGATTCCTTTAGAAAATGAAATGGGAAACTGGCGTGCTGGGTCTCACATGTATCTGGGGGGCACATTCAAAAAATATAAATGATTGGAGGCTGAAGTCCAAGGCCTTGTTTGGAAGTGTGCCCTCCTCCCCAGTAAGAAGATACATGCTTTCTCCATTCATTCAAAGTGAGGGAGTATTGCCCCATTCAAGAACAGGCAATGGGAGCGTAACCATCTGTCTGGGTGGAACTATTTCACCACCCAGGTAAGTCACACAAAGACACCCTGGAACTCAGGAAGAGGATGCGGGGATCCCAGGAAGGGGTCTGGGAGGCAGGCATGGGTGCTAGTGATAGTTACCCCCCTTTCCTCCTTCCTAACCCTTGCTACACTTGCATACTCTGTTTTTTTCTCTCTCTCTAAATGTTGTTTTGAGCCAGTCTGGTGTAGCGGTTAAGGCATTAGGCCAGAAACTGGGAGACCGTGAGTTCTAGTGCCACTTTTGAAATGAAGCCAGCTGGGGGACCTTGGGCCAGTCCCTCTCTCTCAGCCCTAGAAAGGAGGCAATGGCAAACCACTCTGAAAAACCTTGCCAAGAAAACTGCAGGGACTTGTCCAGGCAGTCACCAGGAGTCAAAAACTGACTTGAAGGTGCGCACATGCACGCGCGCACACACACACACAAAAATGCTGTTTTACTTTTGCAGCTAACTTTTTGTTAACTCCTTCTTCTGCTCAAGCAATGCCCTGGGCAAAATGTGCTGTTAGATGCAGGATATTGGATCTGCTTTGTCCTGTTCACTGTTTTTATGGTCTGAGCCATTTAAGAGTTTGCTGGGGAAGGCAAGCAGGGTCTTTGGCAAAGTATAAAAATCAAAGCCTCCATAAAGGAACAAAAAGGGCAAGACATACCTTCCCTTGGCTGTCAGTTTGAAACTCTGCCAGCTTCAGTGAGATCTTGGGATTTTTGCTGCCTGAAATGGAGGGTAAAGAAACGCAAAATAGAGTGATCTGAAGTTTTAACATCTGCATTGATTTTTTTTCATCAAGAAAAAATCAGTTCTGCTCACCTAGGTTAACTTCTTTGCCCCTGACAAGTGGCACCTAAGTAGGTAATCCAATTCTACTGACAAGCCCTGGTGCGCAAAGTGGTGTTTGTATTGCATGCTACCTCCTCACAGTGCTTTGCAGGGGTACCACCTCCCACTGTGGAAAAGTCATGGTTAGCTGACTACACCGAACTGTCTAGGCTCATACACCATGCTACCCCAGCCTTGACATTATCTTTCAGCTACACATTTTGGGTGTTGGGAATAAGATAAAATTAAGGTGGAAATGGAATGGACATCACTCTTGGTTCAAACAGAACCAGAACCAGTAAAAAATCAGAATTGCTCTGTTTTATATGGTTAATTTCTCATCTATGATATACTGAGGATTAACTGTACAATTGTGGCAATTCCTTTGTCCACTTACTAATACCTGTATTATATTTCTGTATCAATTTAAAAAAAAAACAAAAAGAAACAGAATCAACCCTCCTTGACACAGAAGAAGAGATGATTTTCTGAACTAACTTCCTTCTCCTTCTGTCATTCCCCACTGACCTGTTCTGGGATATCGGTATGTGTCTGTTTTCCGTTCTTCGAGGGCTGGAGAAGGGACGTGAATCACCTCCACCTCTGACTCATCCACTTCCTCGTACAGAATTCGCAGTGTCTTCCAGCCTTCAGGTCCTAAATGGAAAGCAGGCAAGTAGGAAGGTTGCTCCTAAGGCAATTCCCCCCACAAGGTCACCTGGGCTGCAAATCTTGGGGGTTAAGTGCCATAAAGGGCTCTTAATTCTCTGAAAACTGGCATGGGCTGGCTGCACCTGCTGGTTCTTTAATTGCACCTTTCAAATTTATTTATAGGCATCAGAACCTAAGAATAACTTTAGATCTCTCTTGGACCAGCATTCGGTTTCTTCCTGCTGGCCAACCAGATCCCTCTGGGATGCTCATAAGCGGGAGATGGAGACATCCCCCCCCCCTCGCTGTTGTTCCTCTGCAATTGGTATTTGCAGACCTGCTGTCCTCCACCCAGAAATAAATACAGTCTTCAAGACTAATAAGCCTCCATGATTGTACACAACCCTCTTTGAAAGCCATCCAAGTTTCAATAGAAGAGAATATATGTAGCTCAGGGTTGAACTGTAGAGTCCTTGGGGTTCTCTGAGCAAGCTCAGAGAACCTCAAGGACTCCATCCAAGTTTATTTTTAAGCAAAACAAGCTAACTCTGGGTAGATTACAGAACAAAAAAATTCAACAAAAATTCAAAACATGCCCAAACTGTAATTCCACCACCACCACACACACAATTAAAATACCATCAAAGAACCCTAAATGGCTGCCCTCTCACCACTGAATTAACGACTGAATATCTGCTGGAAAAGAGTGTCTTCAATGCCTTTGGAATGGCAGGAGCATCTCTGAGGGTAGCATGTTCCATAACATGGGAACCACAATTGTCTTCCAGGGCACACGCCCTTTTCTCAAGAGCACTGGACGGTAAGCAAGCCCTCTCAGGGTGAGGAAGGAGGCTCCTGATATAGACCAGCCACCACCGTGTCTCGTGGCAATGAATTCCACAAAACAAAAGAAAGACTTTGCTAGATTTGATATGTGGAGGCCCAAAGAGAAAACTGAAGGTTCCACAGAGCTGTGCTATCAAACCCCCTTTTAAAGCCACCCGTTCATGATGGACTATATGAAGAGCTTCATAAGAATGTCAAAAAGATAACATACAAAGTAACTAAGAATCTAAGAATAGTCCTACAGGAAGAGACCATCATCCAGGACTCTGTTTCTGACAATGGCCAAGGAGGGGCCTGTGAGATGCTAGCAAGCAGTGAGAGATTCCCCTCTCTCATTTTATTCCCCTGCAACCAGTGTACCAACCCAAGGGTTACACTGAAACTTCAAGACTGACAGAGCTTGACAGACATATCCTCCATAAATTTATCCAATGGTCTTTTAGGTTCCCACATTAGTGGTCTTGTGGCCATCAATTTTACAGGTCACTGATGCGCCGTGTGAAGAAGCGTTTCCTGTATCTCTCCTAAATCTCCTTCTGATCCGCTTCACAGGAAGGCCCTTGGCTCTAGTGTTTGAAGAGAGGGAGAAACTTTCTCCCTGTCCAGCCTCATTTTATGCCTCTCTCAGTCCCTTTTTTCCAATCAAGAGTCTCAAATGTTCTAACTTTTCTCATAACATTTGAGCCCTCAGTCACTTTGATTGCCATCTGCACTCTTCCCAGCATTATTATATCCATTTTCAAACAGAACCGTTCAGTTTTCCAAGACATTTTCACCATCCGCAATCCAGTGCCAAGCACTTGGAATACTTACCTTCTTGGCAAGAAGTGGGACACCACCAGTACCCTGTAAACCGATCAAATTCTTCTTGAATGACAAAAGTAGCCACACCGGCTGACTTGGGGTCATCTAGCACACTGGATAAACCTGAGACAAGCAGAATAATTTTTTGTGAGGCTCCTTATATCGAGCGCCCTAAAACCCTCAACTGACTACGCCAAACTGCCCAGTATGGTTGCTTTATATTGGCCGTCAAGTAAGTTTGGCTGTTCCGCCCTCTCTCTCAGGACCGTCTCAGTAGCTGCTCCCACCTGAAGTTCAGATATGTGGACTTTGTCTCCCAGAATTCCCCAGCCAGCAGGTCCAGTCCTAAGAAAGCTGGGAACTGAAGTCCATACATTCAGCCATATAGCCAGCATGGCTGGCTGGGGAATTCTGGGAACTGAAGTCCACACATCTTCAAGTCGCCAAGGTTGAGGAACCCTGCTCTAGAGGACACCCAGAGGCTGGTCTACGCTATCCAGCAGTGATCCTATGGGGCTTCAGGCTGGAGACTTTCCCAGACCTACGCAGAGGTGCTGCAGGCGTGCAGGCAAAGAGTTGCTTTTCCATTAAGACAGACTTCTGATATCAGGTCCAAAAGAGACTATTTAGCCAGAGATTATAGGAACCATGAGAAAGAATGGGTCAAAGCATCAAGCTGTATCTCAGAATCATAAGAACGTGCGATCAAACTTGTCACGAATGTCATGTTGTACTGCTGTTTCTCATCCCAAGATTCCCATCCGCTTGGCTTTCAGAGAGAGGGACTTGGAATTCCACTTTTTGCATACAGATCAGCTGCTCTGCAGAATATCTCAGTTGGAATAGAAACCCGGGTTCATTTTGACCATTAGCCATGATGGCATAGGTACAACACCTACAGGTCAGGTGAAGATCTCAAGAGTACCCCTAAAGGGGGGAAGAACCCAAATCTACCTTTTTTTGGAGGGCTGAATGTGAACAGACTGTCTTAACCCACATTGCTCCTTAAAAAAACCTTGCGCTTGTATTTTCTCCTTTTAGAGAATTTAAGCCCAAGGCCCTTATCATTTTATAGCCCCACTGATCAGATGGGCAGCCTTATAAATGTATTTGATAGAAAAGCAAGTAAATTAGTGAACTCCAACTCCAGTGCCTTTCCCATCACCACCTCTAGGCCTCCTTTCCACTGCCTAGCTGCTTTCCCTCTGACACATGTAATGTAATGAGGAACCACTACAGCTCTGAACAGGCCTTGAGAATTCCTGGCAAAGGGGAAGCATGTGAGCCAAGTGGGGATTGGCCCACCTTGTACAGGAAGAGACAGACAAAATCTTTCACTCTGGGGCAATCTATTGCTAGAACATTCTGACTTTTGTTCCTCAAAGTAAGCCAATTCAAGCATGGGGGGGGGGGGGGGGGAGGTCATGTATTTTTGGAAGGGCATGGTCAACAGTTCTACCAGGCCAAAAAGCTGGGCTAGCTCCAGATGCCCCCTAACCAACAGCACCACCTTGCAGGACTGAGGAGATGTGCCTTCTCTCTTACGGCACCTGCCCTCTGGAACAGCCTCCCCTGAGATCTGGAGGGCCCCGATCCTCTTGGCCTTCCCAAAGGTTGTTAAGACTTGGCTTTTCCCCCAGATCTTACAGCCTGGGTGTCAGAGGGGCCCAATCGAGATGTGTCTATCTTGCAAGCTTGTTATACAGTGCCTCGGTTTCCTCTTGCACCGAATTATTTTTAACTATACTTTTGTTATATTATATTTTATATGGTTTCTGTTGTTAGCCACTCAGAGTTAGGCATTTAAGATGGATGGCCATACACATTTTCTAAATAAATAAAATCATCCCCAGAAAAGCGCAAAAAAACAGACATCCTAGAGCCATCCCGTGCGAATTGTTTTGTGCATCCATGCACCAACTGACCGAAACCAGAGCAGCTTTGTCTTTTGTGCAAGGGGACATCCAAGCCAAGGCCTTGGCAACCTACCTTTCTGGCAGTAGGTCAGGCGCCGCTCTTCCCCCGTCTCAATGTTCGCCACCCATAGGTCGTTGTTGTTGATGAATGAGAAGAAGGAAGGGTCAGCTGAGCAGATTTTGGGGTCCATCCTGGGCCCTGAACACTGCGTCTGGATTTCCAGTGGCTTCATGGGAGAGACCTGTGGGCGAATAAAGGACCGGTTTGTGAATTATGCACAGGGTGAGAAGTGAGAAAGGGAGTTCTCCATCTCTCTGTCTTTTGGCAGAAGGAGAAAAACTCCCTGAACTTTAAGTATCTGCAGAGTTCCTTAGATTCTTATCCCTCCACCCCCATTCCTTTTTTTTCTAGGGAAGGCGTTCAAGCCTCTTGATCACTTTGATTGCCCCATTCTGCATTTTTCCAGCTATATTACATCTTTTTTTCAAGTGTGGCTACACACAGCATTCCAGATGTGGATGTAGCAACTAACCCATTCTATTGAAAGCTCATGAAAACTCATGCCTTTTAATAAAAAATTGCTCATCAGAAAAGCTGCTAAATCCTCTTGATTTTTCGCTACTGTACACTAACACAGCTCTCCACTTACAATGTTTGCTGTGTGATGTATTTTTGCTCTTACATGCATGGCTTGACACCTACTTAAATTGAACTGTATTGACATTTGATTGACCACTGACCCAGTTTAAAGAGATCTTTCTAGAGCTCTTCACAACTGCATTTGATTTTCCGCTCCCACCCCCCGAATACTTTAGTATCACCCCCAAACTTGAGCAGCCCCACTCTTATCCCAAGGCAAGATGACTGACCAAGGAGTCCAAAAGCTCTGGTCCCAGCACAGATCTTTAAGAGCCCCAACCTTTTTCTTTCTTTCATGGAGAACATATTCCTACTTATTCCTGGCACAACCCCAACTTTGATCACAGAGGACGAAAAAGCGTCCCTCACACGAGGGTTGCAATGAAGCAAAACCAGCCCCACAGCTCCTGGACAAACTCACCATAAACCCATTTTTCCCTCCATCCCGACAATAGAAGAGGCTGTTGCTGGCCTGGAAGAGGAAGAGGCCGCTCTCCCGGTGGAAGTCGTAGGAGGTGATCCCAAAAACACCCAGGCGCTTGCGTTCCCTTAGCAGCTCTTCTTCCCTGGAATACATCCCATGGTGTGGAGTCGCCTGGGGGAGAGTTAAAGAGGCAGAGGGAGGAAAGAACAGAGCGCTGGTGTGAATTTAGAGTGGCCCAAGAGATAAATGCATCTCCCTTTAAATAAAGGACAATGCAGGTAGTCCTCGCTTAATGACTGCCCTGTTTAGCGACTGTTCAAAGTTACGACAGCATTAGAAAAGTAACTTTACGACTGATGCTCACACTTACTACCATCACAGTGTCCCCATGGTCATGTGATCGAGATTCAGGTGCTTCGCAACTGGTGGGTGTTTATGACCATCGCAGTGTTCCGTGGTTACATGATCGCCATTTGCACACTTCCCAGCCAGCTTCCGACAATCAGAGTCAATGGAGAAGCCGGCGGTGAAATTGCAAGTTGTGGTCAGGTGATGTCTCGCTTAATGACCACAGGGAAAAGTGACACTGTAAGTCTGTTGTGGTCACGTGATGTCTTAACAACTGCATCACTCAGCGACGGAGTTGCCAATCCCAGTTGTGGTCATTAAGCGAGGACTACCTGTATCTAATTCCTGATTTGGCTGAAACACCACAGTGCCGCGCTCCCAGACATTCTCACCTGGAAATGATCCAGCATTTGTTTCCATGACAAGAGCAGTAGGGCTTCTTTCCGTACCTTTTTGGGAATCTCTGAGTACAGAAGAGAATTCTCCCTGCTTCCATATGGCATTCCTATTGAGGAAGGTTAGACAGACAGAAAGAAGCCTTTTATTTAAACGCATGGATCAAAAGCAAGCCGCTCTTGGACTCTTTGTAATCTTCCTTGCAAGATGTTTGAACCTTGTATTATTTTTTAAAAATGCTGTTGACCAAGTAGGGACACAATCTGTAAGTTGTCTAAATAGAGTTCCCCCATTGGGGGGAGATGGGTGGTTGAAAATTTAATAAATAAATAAATATAAATATTTTTGTTAATTGAATAATTCTAAATATTAACAAGCTCTGCCTAAAAATAAGATCTGGCAGGTAGGCACAAATTGTACCCCCCTTCCTTGTTAAGCTATTTTTGCAATTAAACTCCTTAGAACGTTTTTTTAGACACCGATCCCCTTATGTAGCAAAATCAGACAACAGATTTGGAATGCTTTATCTCTGCAGCCTTTTCCATTTTCTTTCTGCAAGTCTGGCAAAAGCAACATGGCCATTCTGTGCTATTTTTGCTATGCCCTAAGGAGCGGTTGCACAACAAAATGGGTGGGAAGGGCTATTTGTGGGAGCAGGGCCTCCTCCATGGTGGTTCCTCTCTTACTTCCTTTTTGGACAAAGGATAAAATTATCATTATTTGGATACGGCAGGTTTAGCGTGCTCAGAGTTCCTTTGATTAAGCGATGCCATCTATTGGGACCCCAGAAGCGCACTTTCTCTGTAGCAGCATCTGTCCTCTGGAATGAGGTTCCTCCAAGATTCCAACAGCCCCCACCTACTGTTGTTTCCAAGGGCCTCGAAGCCCAGGCTCCTTGCCCAGGGCTTTGGACAGGGTGACTAAAGCCCCCTTTAGATCGCATGGGCTGTTTTTCTTTGTTCCCATCTAATTTTGTCATTCTTGCTATCTCTACTCTTCATTGTTGCCTTTTGCTGTTTTTTAATGTTTTAAACACTTTGTAAACCACCCAGATTAGCTGGGAGTCAGGCAGCATATAAATTTAATAAATTATTACTATTTTATTTATCAAATTTGTAACCACCCATCTCGTTGAAACGACTCTCGGTGGTTTAAAGCAGAGATAACATTCATTAAAATACAATATAAAAGTCCTATTATATTATGGTATCGAGAATGCTGGGAGCTGAAGACCGCAATCTTAAAGCTGCCGAGGCTAGGAACGGTATTATTCTGTGTCCTAGACTCAGAAATTACTGGAATGCTCGCCTTTCAGGGATCTGAAGATTGCTACGCTCTTCCTTGGTCTTCTGAAGGCTGAAGATTCCCAGTCTCCTCAATCTCCCCTCCTAAGACTGAATGTCCAGCTCCCAGAGCATCTTTGCTTCTCGGAATCAAACAGTAGTACCTGCAAAGTTTTTTCACAAGTACTATGGCCAAGGCAGCCTGTAACTGCATACTTGATTGTTCTGAATTTTATTTCTGTCTTCTAGGGTATTAACTGTTCCACCCCATTTTATATCATTGGCTAATGTCATAAGTATTCTTTCCACTTCTCCATCCAAGTCCTTACTACAATTACTGGATCCAGGACTGAACCTCATAGCACCGGCTCACTCCCTCACTTCAGTCTAATAAGAAACTGTGGATGAGCGTTCCTTGAGTATGATTCTGAAGCAGCTCTGTATCCACGAGATCCATTAGATCTAATGTTGACTGGAAAATTCTGGGAGTTGAAGTCCACATATCTTAAAGTAGCTGAAGTTGAGAAACAGTGCATTACGTGATCATCAACGCCCCTCAGGTCATGACAAAACATGCACCATTTCTCAGCCTTTTGACTAAGATCAAATGTGATGTGCATAGTATCACATATCGTAAATACTTCACTGGCTATTTCAGGTAGTCCTTGGGTTACGATGGCAATTGGGCTGGGAAGCAATGTGGTCGTAAAGCGCAACATTACAGGACTGCATTGTTTAGCAACAGCAATCCAGGCAGTTTCGGTTGCAGTCATAACCCGAAGACGCACAGGTCGTTAAGCAGGAAGAGGCAGGAATCCCAGGTAAGGAGCCACGAGGGGGGTGAGGGAGGGCCTGGGAGAGCCAGCACAGGCCGCAGGCAGGAGAAAAAATGGAAGCGACTTGCGACCTTCTCTACCAGCTTCTTTGTTGACTTTGCTTGTGGGAAGCCAGCAGGGAAGTTCACAAATGGTGATCACGTGACCATGGCTCCCTGTGACATGGTCGCAATCTGGGTGCTTGAGTGCCAGAACTTAGAGGATCAGTCGTACGTCAATTTTTTCAGCGCTGCCGTAACTTTGAATGGCTGCTGAACGAATCGACGTAAGCCGAGGACTACCTGTATGAGAAACAGAATGCCAGACTGCTATGTTCTTAAACCCTGGCAAGATATACCCTCAATGCACAATCAACATTAGTAGACTGCTGATGAGAGACTTTATGTTCCCAAGTACAAGCATCCAATTTACATGCTGAAAACAAACAAACCAAAAAGAGTTTGTAGCTGGCAGCTTAACAGGCCCAGAGTAGGCTAGCTGTCAGCATGGTCTTAAAGCACTGGATGGTTTCTGAAACAGGAGAAGAGCCACATGTAGGCAGTGTACATATCAGTGAAAAAAATGATGGGTAGAGGGAAGGAAGAAAAAGGAGAAAATTGTAAGGTAAGAAGTTGACTCTCCTCCCTGCAACCAATTTCTGTCCAAAGCTGGTTTGTAATTCTGAAACCTTCTTGGTTACCTTCTAAAAGCTGCAAACCAAAGTAAAGTCGTACCTAGGTAATATAGCCGATGGGAATGAGGGCTCGACTCTTCCGTTTTACGGACAAATTGGAAATCATGGGGTGCCTTATTCACGATCATCCCCGTGTACTTCCGGCTGCCATGAATGATGTCACGCAACCCCTCCCACGAGTGTTTCTCCACCTGGAACTGGGAAGTGGATGCGTCCTCCATCTCTACTGCTTCAGTGCTATCTGACAGAGCATCAACCGCCGTCATCTTTAGCCTTCCCCCGGAACTGGTCAAGGAACTAGGAGAAAAAGAGGGGAAAAATGGAGAGGGCAGGAAGGACAAGAGAGGAACAAAAGAGTCGGCCTTTTCTGGAGTTAGGGCAGAATGGTGCTGCTTCTCTTGGACTGCACCAAACTGGCAATACAAGGAAGAACCCAACAATTCAACACACTTTTCCGTGTCTAGGTAGCAGCCCTGAACAGAGAAACCTGGTGTATCAGAGGGCAGAGCTCAGTTTAATAAGGACATGTATGGAGGGATTATACAAAGGCGGGGTGCAAATCTGCACTTCAAAGCAAGAGGAGGCTCGGCTCCACTGAATCACTGAACCGAGCGATTAGTGGAAGGTTCCTTGTACCAAGCTTGGCTCTTGCTGATCCATGTTAATCAGCACTGCCTGTTCGTGCAGCAATACAGGGTTCCAGACAAGAGTGTTTTTCAGTCCTAACTGGACATGTAGTTAATGGCATTTTTAATCTGCTCCTGTCCCAATGGACTTTGGATGGCAAACAGTGAAATAACATTAACCAGGCTAACAAAATACATCTATTAAAAACCCACCCTTTCACAGCTTCCTCAGTCAGATCAGGCCAAAGCCACGATGAAACAGGACTTCTTCAGAAGGCTTTCAGAAGACAAAGAGAGTTGGCACTACCCCCCTACCTCTGGGGAAGGACAATTCCACCAAGTGGAAATGCCATAGACTAAACCTGGCACCTCAGATAAAACTGGCAGATCTTCCACCTTGACCTTTTAGCGCCTGCTTTTAAAGGGAAGTATATTAGGGCATCTCCTCTAGTGTCACAGATGGGAGGAGTTATAGGCCTCCAGGCCCCAAAAAGCCGGCCAAATTCTCTCCAAACTCTCTTGCGCTCACAGCTACTTGTGCATTTTAATAACATGATGTGGCTGCTATCTTTGGTGAAGTGGCAAGCAAATTCAGAACGAGCCCAGGACACTAAGCAAAGGTAAGTGTCAAAGAAAGGGTGCTGGGGCTACCAGCTCTTTTTGAATTTTGAGCCCATTAGGGTTATCAACATATTATTAGGCTGTACCACTCATGCTGGTCATATTCTTTCATCTGATTCGTCAAAGACCTCCAGATGGACAACCAGCACACAAGGAACCAAAATAGCACCCACTACTGATTTTCTTATTTTCTTATTTTTCATAGCAAGCAATTGTCCAACTTGTGAATCCCTCTCTGAGGCAGTCCAGAAAACAGCTGATCATTTTACTGAGACAGCCTACCACTCACTCCCCAATATAGCTAAACCAGGGTTTCTCAACCTTGGCAACTTGAAGATGTGTGGACTTCAACAACTCCCAGAATTCCCCAGCCAGCAAGGCTGGCTGG